CCCTCTCTGACACTTCTTATGTGCTGTAAAACACACCCTTCAGGCCACCTCTTCAAGCTGCTACCTAGCCAAAGTCATTTTATATTTTGAACCTCATGAAATCATTCAAGTCCTTGTGACATCACAGCTTCCTAAACATTCCTTATGCGGTTGAGTCCATTGCATGCCATATTTCAAAAGACATAACAAGAGCGGTTCCAACTTTTCAACCCTCTTTCAATAGTGTTTGCAAACTGGGGAGCTGCCTTTCTGAGTTTATGTTTGTTCAGAGCACCTTATCAATGCTCTTTCAGCTTCAAGTTGTCTGATAGTTTCTATATACTGCCTTGAAACCCCTTTGCACAAGAATAGGGGTGTTTATGGGATATTTTTTGTTTTTTTCGAGTCAGGGTTTCTCTGTGTAGTTTTGGTGCCTCTCCTGGAACTCACTCTGTAGCCCAGGCTGGCCTGGAACTCACAGAGATCCACCTGCCTCTGCCCCTGCCCCCCGAGTGCTGAGATTAAAGGCGTGCACCACCACTGCCCTGTTGTGGGATATTTTGATTGCACTCTGACACTCCCAAGACTGTCAATAAAGTTTACTTTGAATCAGGCTAGCTAGCTACTCCTGACCAAAGTTAGCCATAGAGGTTTCGGAGGGCAGGGGACATATAGAGAGACATAGGAAGTAGTAGGGTGGGGCTTAGAAAGCCTCTCCGCCCTTTTGGATTGAAGAAGGAGAGAGAGAAAGAGGAAGTCACTGGTTGCTTCTCTGCTGCTTCCCTGATCACTCAGGCTCTTACCCTGATATCTGACTCCTGAGTTGTTTTTCTGTTGTTGTTGACTTTTGGAGACAGAGTTTTTCTGTATACCTTTTGTAACCTGTCCTAGATGGAACTCACTCACTCTGTAGGCCAGGCTGGCCTCAAACTCACAGAGATCTGCCTGCCCCTGCCTCCCAAGTGCTGGGACCACCGCCCGGCCAACTCTTTATTGATAAAGATATTTCTCTAACTCTTTATTGATATTGATCTTTATTCATAAAGAATAATTAGATAAATGCTTCACAGGGGTTCATTAGATGTATGTTGTAGCTCCCCAGTTACTCTGGCCAACAGTTCTACCAAATGACTCACCACTGTGTACATGTGTTGCCATTGTTGTCCTGGTCTCCTGGAGACACTCTCTTGCAATTTATTTTTTCTGCCTCTCCTATAACTCATTCTACCATCCAGTTCCAAAAACTATTGCGGCACATTTTAGGTTTTGTTATGGCAGCACATCGCTTCTGGGTACCAGCTTACTTATTGATCAGCTATTGCCACATGTTAAATAACCACCTCAGTGTTTTGAAATAGCAATCATTTGTTATTTGGATCATCCAACTCCTAGCTGATCTTGCCTGGTTTTGCTGGTTTGGCCTGGGCTAACTTGTGATCTAGGTTAGCTCAGCTAGAGATGGCTCTGTTCCCTGTGTCCTCACCTCTTCCTGGACCCAGTGAGCCACCTCGGGTGTGCCTATCTGAATGCGCTGGCAGGGGCGCAGGATAACAAACCCAGCAAGCTCTTCCCAAGTCCGCCGAAGCCATCGCCATTCATCCCATTGCCCAGACTGTGCGACTGAGACCAAAATGCAGGGCTGATGGTAGATAATGCTGAGTGCAGCAGTGCATGCCTGCAATCCCAGTACTCTTGAGGCAGGGGCATCTCAAGTTCAAGGCCAGCCTGAAGTACATAGTGAGACCCTGTCTCAAAAGCACAAAACAAGCAAGCAAACAAACAAACAAAAAACAGCAAAGAGATGGGAAAGGGCCTCTCCTCCGTGATATCCAAGGATCTGAAGTTACAGGGCACAAGTCATGGGCCCAGAAAAGGGTAACGAAGGGACCATCCATGTGGCCTGCGGCTGCTGACAAAGCAAACGTCTGCACCTGCTCTTCTCTCTTCCTGGATAGCCTCGTACAGCAGGAGGGTGTCCTCATTACTTAGAAGAGCAACCTGACGCTCAGAGGTGTACTTCCTCAAGATGGCAAGGGTTAACGAGTGTCCGAGCCCACATTTGAATGTGTTCGGGCCCATGTCCCGCACTTACTAAAGCACTCCACAGCAACCTTCCACATCTGCAGCTTCCGTACTCACAGATCCCACCCCTGGCTTGAAAATACTTGGCAGGGAAAGTGGTGCCTGCATCAGATCTACAGACTTTTCCTTGTCATTCTTGACTAAGCTGTATAAAACAAATACCTTTACCTTGGATCAGGTACATCACTGCACACGTCACATGCCAATGCCACGTCACTTTATATATGGAACTTGAGCATCTCCAGATTTTATGGGGGTCCTAGACCTAATCACTCATGGATTGGGCTATACATGAAATGGAAGACGAATCATTCCTGTGATGGTCATTTCCATAGGTTCTTGAGTTGTAGCATTAAATGCACACCCTTGATTGGGAGCAAACCGTGTGACTCTCAGAAGGGCAGAAGTGAAGGGAGAAATGGGCTCTGGGGAGGGTGGGGACACCACTGAGAAGCTGACTCAGGCAACTTTGTCACTCAGCCTCGGAGTCAAGCTCCTAGCGAGTCTAATTGGCTCCGCATGCAGCATAGTACCCACCCACTGGGTAGGGCTTGGTAATTAAGCAGGCCAACCCAGACCTGAGGGGAAGGACTCTTAAAAGATATGTTGAGTGACAGCACCACAGAAAGAAGAAAGGAGGAGGGGGGTAACTCGGGGAGAGTGCTCATTTCCTTTCAGGAGGCTGGACACGTTGCTGTTGGTGAATGAGGGTCCGACTACCTAGGTGTCCTGTCTTGATTTTACCACTTACTTGTCCTGGCAAGTAAGATTCTGTGCCTTTCTGTGCCTCAGTGTCCTCACTGGTAAAGTATTCTCGTGCCATTACACAATCACCTTGCTGGAAGGTTGTGCAGGGGAGATAACTCGCTCTCATCACAGACATTACAATGTAGACGCCATGGCCATTCTGTTTGCATCACAGCATCAAGGGAGCTGAGACAGCAGAGTGATGTCCTCCCTAGAGACACAGCACAGATGTCCGTGTGGAACCCCGCTGGCTGAGACAGCTGAGCCCCATGCTGGGCTGTGTCCTTTTGGCCTGGAGAGGCACAGAGGCTGCCAGGCTGGCCATGCTCCTGTGCTCTGTTTAAATGGAGGAACTGGGAACTTAGAGAATGCAGGGCTGGCTGAGTCACCCTCTCAAGAAGGTCCTTTAAAGAATGGGACAAGTACATACTTATGTCTCCAAGTCCTGGGTCTGTTGGCATGCCACTTGGGGTCTTCTGGGTGCCTGCCTTTGGCCTCTGGGTCATGGTTACTTCAGCTGGTATAGGATGAAAAGACAGCATGGGATGCCCATCAAACACCACACTCTGCTCCAGCAGCTGCGGCCCAAGCATCCTGGATGTGTGCACTTGACATGCTGTCCAAGCTCAGTTTCACCTTCTGTCCAGGAAGAGGCTGGCCCAGGGACTCCAACTGCCACAGCACTCCCTAGCCCTGCCGCAGAGCTCAACCCCAGAGTGGGGGCCAAGTCTGCTTCTCTCTGCCCCAAGGCCTTGTTTCTGACAATGTCCAGGTGACCCGAGGGTGCCTGCCACCTTGCCTTTCTGCCTGATCAGGCACCAGGGTTCAATGAAACCAAAGCCTCAGATAGCCAGTTCTTTTTAGGTGAACCCCATAACTCACAATGACAGGAAAGGGGGCCTGAGACCAGACTTTGAGTCCCTGCCCTGGCGTTTCTGGCCATGAATATCAGGGCAGCATCGTGATGGGGGTGGGGTGGGGTGAGTGGTCAGAGGATGAGGTGGGCCCGCTTCACAGGATACTCTCACAGTACAGCGCTCTCCATCTGACAGATGCAGCAAGAACAAGGCCACTCCTCCTAGCCTCTGGCTCACTCTGGCTGTGCTCCTCAAGCCACCAGCAGGTTATGCCCCAAGGCTGCTGTTCACTCATAATCTCATCATCTCCAGGAAGGAAATCAGGTTAGCCTGGCAGGCTCATCTTTTATAAAGCGGCTTTTTTTTTTTTTTCCTTTTAGGTTGGTTCTGTTGCCTTGGGTGACACCAGACTGCAGTGAAGGAATATCCTGCTGGAAACAGACTCTAGATCTTACCCGTTCCTAACCCCTTCCTTCTTAACCTACCGAGCAAGGGGGGTGGGGCGGGGGAGTCTGACAGCCAGGGTGCAAATCCTAGCTCTATCCCTGAGTGACTCCAAGCCTGTCATTTAGCCTCACCGTGCCTCGGTTTCCCCATCTGTGTAAAGGACACAGTAATGCTCCATTTTGAGATAAAGTAACAGTGGCAATAAAACTGTCGGGACGTGGTCTCAAATGAGTTAGCACATGGGGTGCTTATGGAAGCACCCTGCACATCCGGAGGGCTCCCCAGCTTCCAGGCCTGAACTGGCTTCTTTGCTGGAGTCTAGTATTCCTGGGAAAAGCACTGTGCTATCCTGGAAGGGGACAAGGAAGTCTATAATGAGCACTTCAGAAGATGTTTCCCCAGGCCGGGCTTGGGCGTGGGGGCTACATCAGCTCTTCTCTTGACAACTGTGTCTGACCCCGAACTGTGTTTCTAAAATGCCCAGTTTGTTAGTTTCTGGTTTTGTTTTGCTTTGGGTTTTGTCTAACCTGCCCTGCTCACACGCTTCCACCTCTGCCAGCCCAACTTCTTCAGGCTTCAGATAATCACGCCCCCACCCCTCACTGTCTCCTCTCTAGCCAGGCAACACCTCTCCTCCTAAGCCTCACCCTCCAGGAATGAGACAGGATGTGACTACCTTCACAGCGCTCCCTTAGATGGCATGAGGGAATCATTTCAGGCGGCCGTTGAAAATTACTGGACAGCGTTTCCAAGACCTTAAGCATCCGAAGCAGAGAGGCTGAGCAGACAAAGAGTAACGTGAGTGAGCAGTTCTCCAGGAAGGAGCAGGGTGTCTACTCTGGGACTTCCAGCTGTCACAAAATGCCACAATTTTATGCAATTTTTTAAAAAATTACCATATTTTAATTATATATAGCAATGGGGTTTCATGATGACATTTTCATATCTATATGTATATATATACATGCATTTTGATCGTAATATATAATGTATCTTGATCATATACACCCTTCCCACTCCTGTCGATCCCCTTCCTCTCCCGAACGACTCCCCCTCTATTTTCATATCTTTTGCTGTATTTTACCCAGTGAGTTTAATTGGAGTTGCTTAGCTGAGCCTCAGAAAGAGACATTTGCAGGAGCATTGGCAACATACCAGTGGCTACGCCACTGAAGAAAACATCTCCCTTCCCCAGCAACCATTAACTGTCAATAGCTCTTCAGAGAGGGGTGGGGGCCTTAGGAGCTCACCTCCATCCATAACAGATTGATCGACTCAATCATGTGAAGGGCTCATGCAGCCAATCACAGTTGTGTGATGTTTGTGTCAGCTTGTGAGCAAGAACCTATGAAGAGAAAACTCAACTTTTTCTTCAGGAAGAAATTCACAAAAACGTTGTTTGCAGCATTTTAGTCTAAAAACGTTGTTCTGAAAGGTGAGGCTGCCTGCTTACATTTCAGGCTGTCTTTAACATTGTGGCCTCACTTGTGTATGGACATACGTGCACAATGAGGTTTCTGTCTATGGCAGAACACACGTTCAATGGTGGTCCCATGAGATTATAAGGAAGCTCAAGAATTTCTAGGCCTAGCAGCCTCAGTGAAGTAATGTTTCAGCACAAGACACTACTTGTGTCCTTAGAGATTCTGGTAGTGAGAAACCTGCCACCACACCAGCCATATAAAAGTATAGAACATCCAATTATAGACAGGAAAAATTATACGATAGTGATAACAAACAACCGTGTTACTGTTTTATGTATTTACTCTACTTTCTAAAATGTACTACTACTGATTTTTTTAAAGGAAAACAGGCTGGGAGGTGGTGGCACATACCTTTAACCCCAGCACTTGGGAGGCAGAGACAGGCAAATTTCTGTGAGTTTGAGGCCAGCCTGGTCTATAGAGTGAGTTATGGGACAGCCAAAGCTACACAGAGAAACCCTGTCTCAAAAGGCCAAAGAAAAAAAAAGAAAAGAAAGAAAAAGAAAAAAGGGAAACAAAACAACAAATCAAGTTTGGGCCTGGTAAGACGCTTCAGTGGGTAAAGCTTCTTGCCTCTAGACCTGATGACCTGAGTTCCGCCACATGGTGAGAGAGCCGACTCCTGAAGTTGTCCTCTGACCTCCATACGTGCACCATGTCATGTGATGCCCCCTAAAACCAGTAAATGAGTTAATAAATAATGACGGCTTTAAAAAGAAACAAGTGTGCAATAAAGCAGAATGCCACACTGTGCCGACAGCAGCCTCGCCCCTTTCGTGTTTACTGTGTCTCTGGATTGCATCATCCTCTCTTGGGCTTGGTTTAATTTCACGTTGTTTTGTTCATCATGGCCTAGGAGCAATAGGTTATTACACACATACACACATACACACAGCCTGAGAAGCAGGGAGGGAGAGATGCTATTGTGATCACCATATACACACACATATATCCTAGATATATGACAGCTTATGACATATAGATTTGTAAGTATACCTTGTCATTTATACAATGACGAAAATTATAGAACATAAAATTTCTCAGAGTGTGTCTTGTCACAAAGGCCCATGTGGCCATTAAGTAAAGAAATAGAAAATCGCTAGCTTATTGTTATCATCTGGTTCTACAAGGTTCCTCAAAGGTCTGTGTGTAAATCCTTAGTTGCCAAACTTTGTCCCTATCGGGAGTTGGAACTTTTAGGAGATGCGGCCTGGTCAAAGGATGTTAGGTCACTTGGGATATACCCTGGAAGCAGTTCCTGGGACCTCAGCCCCTTCCTGTCTCTTTTGCTGCTTTCTTGGGGTTCTGCCTTAGTGCAGTCCCCAAAGCAACCAGCTATGAATGGAGACCTCTGGAACTATGAACCAGGATAAGGCCTTTCTCTTCTTCTTTTTTTTTTTTTTAATTTATTTATTTATTATGTATACAGAAAAGGGCACCAGATCTCTTTACAGATGGTTGTGAGCCACCATGTGGTTGCTGGGAATTGAACTCAGGACCTCTGGAAGTGCAGTCAGTACTCTTAACCTCTGAGCCATCTCTCCAGCCCAAGGCCTTTCTCTTCTTAAGTTGAATGTCTTGGGTATTTTGTCACAGGAAGGGATGGTTAAATAAAAGGACACATGTTGTTTGGGGCTAGACATCATCTCCTTACAGCTTTTCTCCTGGAATAGCACCCTCCTTTGTTTTGAGGGACTCACTCCTCCACCATGGGTATAGTCATGAGGGAGAGGGATGGCAGGTGCAGGGCTCCTGGGTGAAGCTCTTGGCCTGGAGCCTGTGAGCTTGGCTCAGCCACATGGAGCATCTCTTGTGTTCTCAGTCTACAAGGGTGACCGCGGAGGTCATTACTGGGCAGTACTACTCTGCAGTAACTAGTTACATGCCTTCTGATGAGTCACTCAAGCTCTCTGGGGCTCCATTTTTTTTTTTCTTCTGGGAAGACAGCCAAGTGTTAAAACCACGGCTTTGAGTAAACGATGCTGGATACAAGCAACACATACTTTAGGGATCCACAGACAGATCCTTCAGAAAGAGGCAAAGTCTTTATGCCTGAGGGTTAATATACACTGGCATAATTTGTTTTTCAAAAGGAAATGAGACCCAGAACAGCAAGTACACACCAGGAGTCCTCAGCTACTCAAGAGGTGGGCCAGAAGTATCACTTGAGCCCAAGAATTTGACGCCAGGCCATGTAACAACACAGTGAGACTCCCCCATCCTGAAAAATTAAATAAAAACCAGGGATAAAATCTCATAAAATCCTGGAGTAGTCAATAGGGAGTATGGGTGGGGAGGGCTGAGGAGCTGATACCCATCTATCATTCCACATTGACCTAGGTTGTGGGTCACATGGGCGTCTATGATCGCCACACTTGTAATTATCAATAACTCTGTGTGTGAGTGTGCACGTGCATGTGTGTAGAGGCCAGAGATCATTCTTCAGTTGTTTCTCATTTGGTTTTTGTTTTCTTATAAAGCAGAGTTGGGGTTTGATAAATATATATTGAAAAAAAATTTAGTTAATTTATGTGTGTGTGTGTGTGTGTGTGTGTGTGTGTGTGTGTGTGTGTGTGTGAGACTGAGAGCTTGTATGTGTACCACATATATGCATGAGCCCATGAACATCAGAAGAAGGTGTCGAATCCTCTAGAGCTGGAGTTATAGGCAGCTGCCAACCACCATATGGGTGCTGAGAACCGAACCCGGGGCCTCTCTGAGAGAGCGGTAAGTGCTCTTAACCGCTGAGCCATCTCTTTAGACCCTAATATAGACTGCTGCACAAGAGTTAAGGGAAAGAGAAGCACTCAAAAAGAAAGTAAGACGCACCCCAGAACACAGTGTGGGCTTCTCTGAGAAGAGTCTCAGAAAGGAAGTCACACCCATGTGTGGATATAGGCCACTCAAGGGAGAGTCACCCCACCTTGGTGTTTGGAGACAAGGTCTCTTGCTAACCTTGGGCTTGCCAAGTATCCTAGTCTGGCCAGCCAGTGAGCTCTGGAAACCCTGCCGTCTCCACCTCCCCAGTGCTGGCATTACAAGCACACCCCACCACACTAGGAGTTTTTACAGGTGTCGTGGGGATCAAATTCAAGTCACATGCTCGCATGCCAAACACTTTACCGACCTGTCCCCTCCGCCTGTTACTCATAACCCTTTATATTGTTAATGTCTTTTCCATGGGTCTGCTCTAAGAAAAATGAATGAAAATAAACAGCAGGTTTAAAGAGTCTTGTAAACTGTAAACTGCTGCCCGTTTTTAAAATAAACAAATAAATAATGATAATGAAAGGCTTCGGCTCAGTCCTAAGAGACTGATACGTGGTCCCTTTGGTGGGGCTCATTATAATGCAAGGGTCTCAAGGCCATGATCGGGCCTCTGGGTGAGCTGGAGATCTGTAGACACTGTACAGTATACAGCAGCGTCTAAAGATGATGGGGCCTTAAAGCAAAGAGAGGCTTCCTTTTAAATCTAAGAGGAGCCTCTTCAGAGAGCAGCCTTGATCTCTAGGCCAGCTTCAAGCAGCCTCCCTGAGCAGTCCCCAATCCCCAGCACAACAGAAACATCTGACTTGTATAACCCTTGAAGAAATGAACGGATTTCCACGCCCCGTGACAAGGAGCATGCATGGAGGAGCCAGGTTCCAAAAATTGAGGGTGATATTTCTTAACTCTGTGCCCCAGAGAGAGCTACAGGGAGACGTGGCCTTGGTTTAGGCTATGGGAACAGGCATATGTTCTAACAGCCGCCTATTAGGGCTCATGAACAACCTCTCCCCGCCCGTCTTTTTCCTTTAGGTTCATAATCCAGATTGTACAAGATAGAAAAAACCAATCTTGTCCAGCCCCCCTTGTCCCATCTTATGAAGGAGCGAACTGCGACCCAAGAAGGCAGTGTCTGTTCTTCCTCCTCTCCTCTACCCGCCCCCTCCAAAGGTTAGCGCCCTAGAGTATGGGTTCTCCTGGGATCTGAGGCTCTCTTGCCTTCAGCTTCTGGAGTGTGTGGGGAATCAAGAGCCCACAGACCATTTCATCTGCTTCTCGACTCCATCTCTGGCTGGAAAACAAAAAAAAAAAAATACTGGAAGTTTCCTCCTGCCTACAGCTCCCTTCAGATGTGCTCAGCCTCAAAGTAGTACAGGCTTTCTGACGTTCTTAAAGAACGCGTGCACACCTTCCCCAGTTCACACCCCGGCTTCTGAGCATCCTCCGGCCAGCCTCTCTCCAAAAGCGTAAGAACTGGGTGGGGAGGAACACAGGCCTCCTGCAGGAGGGGCAAAGATTCTGGCTCAGACAGTGCCACTCAGCAAGCGGCTCTCTGCTCCTCACCTCGGCAAACGCGGCCTTATTTCCCTCCGCATAAACTGCCTCCGCTTGGAGCCAACAGGAACTTTGCAAGCAGTCCTGTTCCCGAGGCTGGTAATTTGCCAGACATTAGCAGTGACTAAGCTACACCAGCCTCTCTTTGTTCCAGGAGAGGGGACCAGCTTGTCTTGTGGTAAATCAGAGGCCCGGAGGCAGCCAGGGTGAGAGGCTGATCTCTGAGGTGTGCCTGTATCCTCCTCCTGCCTCACTCAGGCTGATGAGAACACTGGCTCGCCATGATGCTGGGGCTTCTCTGTCCTTCTTCCACTCCCCCTTCCCTTGTGTTCCAAACAAGAAAGAATCACAGTGGGAAGACCGAAGTCTGTGTTGCCTGCCTTTTTAGAAGCATCAAGCTTTTCTAAAGACCACGGAGACCCTCCGCCTCTAAGAACCGAAGGGAAAGGCCACTGGAGTTTGTGGACCTGTAATTTGCCCCAGCCCAGGCATGAGGCCACAACATGGCAGATCCAACCTTGTGAAGGACCAGGCCTGGGCCCTGGTTTCAGTTTAAAGACTGATTAACTTTGTTTCCCTTTTCCAGGCTCATTATTTGTCCTGGCAGGCAGATAGGCAGATCCACTCTATGCTGTGATCAGAAGAAACAGGACCAGAGGCAAAATGTCAGGCATGCAAGAGGCAAATGTAGGAGCCCTGTCCAAAAGTTACTACGATTTTCAAGATGGTAACAGGGCATTATGCTAAGTATAGGTCCTTCTGAGCTAGTGGTCCAAGTTTGGATACCTGTGAAATCTGTTCTGGGAGAAGGTATTCATTCATTCATTCATTCATTCATTCATTCAGCAAACAATGAGGGACTTCTTTGTGACAGGTTCAAGTCACACAGCCACCAAATACATGCCAAGTGTGTCACAGGCCTATTAAACAGTGGGTGCTTGAATAAGTGGTGCCGACTGTGTGTGTGTGTGTGTGTGTGTGTGTGTGTGTGTTCATGTACAGGCATACATGCTGGTGCACTTGCACATGGGAGCTAGAGAAGGCACGGCCCTCCTCTGCTCCACCGTTCCATCCTTCTAAACCAGGATGCCGCAGAGTCGTGTAGACTGTACACCACACAGTGAGAATGATGTTCCCTGAGTCCCCGCCAAGCTGCCAAGAGCTGAGAGGCTGGAAAGCCAGCTCAGCACATCTCATGCTCAGTTCTTGAGAACTTGTGCCCTTAAACCTCTGGTGGGTTCCCGGAATGGATAGAGATGGGCTTGTGACTAGTACTCCTGCCTCAACCTCCAAATCCACCAAGTCCAGCTTAAGTCAACCCTGAAAACTGACCTGAAGGCAAGTCTTCACGTGGAGAGGTGCCTGGTCCCTGAGCTGTAGCTGTTGGGATTTCCCCAGTCAACTCTGGGGATCTCACTGATGTCCTGTATGCGACACCATGCAGTGCTGTCGGGGGAAGTTCCTCTCCAGTTCCTTTGACCTGCCCAAGGTCAGACCCCAACCTTGATTGGAGACTTCACTGGAAATTCTGGGGTGACAAAAAGTGTCCAGTCACAGATTGCTAGCCTCAGCTGTCTCCAGTGTACGGAGACATGGGAGGAATTCATTCTCAGCTCTCCCCTCCCCTGCCTCAGGAACCCCCACCATGCAGGAGAGGAGCCTCCAGTGAGTGGAAAGAGCCATCAGCTTCTTTCCAAAGAAAAGGGGGTCACTCTGTGGGGGGGCAGTCCAAATTCTGAGCCTCCTGTCCCTCCCAGTCTCTTGTCACCAACATCCATTGATTCTCCTGAAGTTTCCATCTTTCTGTTTGTTCTTTGAGACAGGGTTTCTCGGTGTAGCTCTGGCTGTCCTGGAACTCGCTCTGTAGACCAGGCTGTTCTGGAACTCACAGAGATCTGCCTGCCTCTGCCTCCCAAGTGCTGGGATTAAAGGGGTGAGACACTGCCCAGCTAAAGTTTCCATCTTAAGCAATCTCAGAGAAGAAACATCTGGGTTTGGGGTCCTAAGATTCCAGTCCTAGGCTAGGGAAATGGCTTGGTGGAGAGTTATTGCCTGAATTTGACCCTCATGTTAGAAATCTGAGTGTGGTGGCATGCACTTACAATCCCAGTGCTGGGTGGGTGGAGACCAGCAGATCCCTGGGGCTCTCCGGCTATCCCTGCTAGCCCAGCTAGCCTATGTGTCCAGCTCCAGGCTGATGAGAAACTCAGTTTCAAAGAACAAGATGGAAGGACTGGGAAGATGGCTCAGTGGTTAAGAGCATATACTGTTCTCGCAAAGGACCTGAGTTTGATTCCCAGCACCCACGGCTCACAACCACATAAAACTCCCTCTCCAGGGAATCCAATGCCTCTGGCCTCCCAGGGGCATCTGCATTCAGTGTGCCACACCCACACACAGACATACACATAACTAAAGATAAAAATCTTAAAAATAAATAAACAAGGTAGATAATGTCTAAGGAACAATATGTGAGGTTGTCCTCTGACCTCACATTCAAGGTGCACACTACACACACATGTGCAACCCTACAAGCATGAGCAGGCACACTCAAGCACACATGCACACATTGCTTCTTGCCTGAGCAGTTACACACCTGTGTGGCCTCTGGTTTGTCACTTGACTTGACCTCTGACCCTCAGTTCCCATCTGTAACATGGAGACAGTGTCTATAACATGGAGACAGTGACTGGCGGGGGTGGGGGGTGGGGGGGGGGAGTTGGGGGAAGTGGGGAAGTGGGGTGGCGCGTGTAGGGTGGGGGAAGAATGTGTATATCTCTGTGTTGGTCGTGGAGACACCCTACTGTAGCCTGTGGGGGACATTCTGTATAATTGGCTGCTGTCCACAGCAGGGATGGAGGCATGAAGGCCTCTGGTTGGCTGTTTCCCACAGAGAAGCCAGCCATTGATGGCTGCCACCTCCTCCTCCTCCGAGGGAGAGAGGAGAGGGGATAAATGAGATGAAGGCTTGCCCTGTAACTTGCACAAGTCCACCCCTCCCCACACGAGTTTTGACTGATTGTTTGAGGTGATGAAATTAGGAAGGTGCAGAACAGCTGTGAATGCAGAACAGCCAGGCTCTGTTCCTGCTGATTAAAGCGGGGAGGGGCGAGGAGGAGGAGGAAGAGACAGGGTCACAGACAGACCGAGTCTATAGTGAAAGACCTGGTGGCCCCAAAGAGCCTGGAGTAGTTATAAAAACGGAGACGACACTGAGACAGAAGGGCCGCAGAGGCTGTGTCTAGAATATGAATAGGAAAAGAACACAAAACTCAGAACTCCCGCTCATAGGTCCCACCACCTTCCTCTCCAGAGCCACAAAATCACCTTGAGGAGGGTGACAGGGAATTTGCATGGTGGGAAGGTGCAAATTAATATTAATTCCGTGTAAAAGAGGATCCGGGCTACCCCATAGGTAGGAGCTGTCCCAGCTGCTGCCTTTCCTAATGCTTTTGTTTTTTTCTTTTTGTACATTTGTTTATTTATTCGGTGTGGAAGGGGGTCTTGCCATGTCAGGGTACACTTGTGGGAGTCAGGGGACAGCTTGCTGGAGTTGAGGCTTTCCTACCACCCTGTAGGCCCCAAGGAGGTTCCGGAACGCAGGTTGTCAGGTGTGGCTGAAAGTGTGTTTACCTAATGTGTCGGCTCGCCAGCTCTCCCTGACCTTTGCAGAGCAGGGTTAAGTCCCAGGGAATAGCACGTGGGCAACCTCAGCCAGGCCAGGAAGTCCAACCCTCCTGGACTCGTAAAAGAATGATGGAAAGCAACAAGTCCAGTAAAGTGAGGCTTACTTCTCCAGTCTGCCCCGCCCCCACCCCCACCCCCAGCCTGCTTTAGGCTTTTGTGAGTTCTCCTTCCTTCCAGCAGCCAGTGGAGTGGGAGATGCATAGAGCTAGCTACCACCCATCCAAGGAGGACTCCGATCCCTCCTGTTCGTGCTGCCTGGTGGCTTCCCAGAGATAGACCCAACACCACATGCCTTTGGTGGCTTCCCAGAGATAGACCCAACACCACATGCCTTTGGTGGCTTCCCAGGGGTAGACCCAACACCACATGACTTTGGTAGCTTCCCAGGGGTAGACCCAACACCACATGCCTTTGGTGGTTTTACCAGAGATAGACCCAATACCGCATACCTTTGGTGGCTTCCCAGAGATAGACCCAACACCACACACCTTTGGTGGCTTTCCAGGGGTAGACCCAACACCACACACCTTTGGTGGCTTCCCAGGGGTAGACCCAACACCACTTACCTTGCTGGAGCAAGAGGTAGGCTCAGAACTATAGAAACCCAGTTTTAAGCTTGTACAACTCAAGAGACTTTTCCCAAGGCCCTGTGGGGTTCCCGACATGTTCACCTCCACACAGTGAGTGTCAGTATGAGGTCAGAACCTCAGTGTCCCCTGACTTGTCAACAGTCTCAACTCAAAGGCTCTGCCTGCAGATGGGAGCAAGGCAGGTTCTCCTCCCAAACCCGCCAGCCCGCCTTCCCCTGCTCCCCACAGAACCAGCACTGACTCTGACAGTAGTCATCAGCCCACTCACCAAACAGGCATGAACCCAGCCTGTACCACTCATGTCCTTCACCAGGCCACGTGCTTCTTGAGGGCAGGGACTGGGTCTCCACAGCCAAATGATCTGGAACAGGTTAGTCACACCCCCAAATCCCTGTTTTCCTCAGTTTCTTCATGGGAATGTTGGGAGAATAAATGGAAGATATGAAGAGTTAAGCATGATTTCTGGAACCGAAAAGGTGCTTAATAAATGTTATTATTGCAATGCTACTGATTTCTGTTATTGTTCATATCTTTAACATCAAACACTGTGCCAGACCCAAAAGAAACAGGAAATCTAAAGAAATAAAATTGGAGGAATAGTGCCATCATCAGTCACCCTGCCTACAGAACTCCAGCTAAGTATTTGCATCAGTCAGTTAATGTCTCAATGTGCTGTGTAACAAGCTGTCCCCAAAAAACAAAGAATTCACAAAGCCAACATCCATTCTTACTCAAAGGACTACAGGTCAGCAGAAGTGAGCCTCTTTCCCAAAGGTGTCCACTATGGGGTCTGGGATAAAGGACCTTCAGAGAAAGTGGCTGATCTGGAGATTGCATTAGGATGAAGGCAAACAGTATCTCATCACTTTTATGCTGTTGCTATTGGTCAAAACAGGTCACGTGGTCAAGAAGACAGGAAATCCCTGTACCTATAACGCTACAGCAAGAGCATGAGTATGAATGAACTGCAGGGCCAATCTACCTCATCTACCAAAACTCAGTCAATGGTGGCTGGGCATAGGTCATTCCACCTTGGCCTTCCTCCAGTCTATACCCTCAAGTCCCCAAAAAGAAGTGTTTCCAGTAAGATCTTGAAGAAGGCGTGGATCTTTCGCATAAAATGAAATATAAGTTTGAAGCATTTTGCAAGTGTAAAAAAAAAAGCATAGACAGACAAATATTTCCTCCGACTTTGCTCGCTGCAGCCAGGGATATTTGCAAATCTGTCCTAACAGAGCGTTTAGTTTCAAGAAGCAGAAAATTGAGCTGACAACATGTTTACGAGCAAATTCTAGGATCTGGAGGTAAAAAGAAAGAAACCAAGCCCACAGACTGTTTTCCCGGCGTCGATGGAGTCTCTGCTTCATCCTAACAACGCCCATTTCTATCAGCAAACCCCTTCTCCCATTTTACTACTCAGTGTGGATGGGGCAATCACAACAGAGACATGGAAGCTCTTGAGGCTCCAGATGCTGTGACTTGTCTCTGTGGGGCATCATCCCTCTTTCAGCTTGGGCCTCTGGGGACCCTGCATGGTGCAGGAAGGAAGGGCAGAGGAAACAGAGCTGTGGGCCGGGGGCGTGGAGGGAAGTCTGTATTCGCTCCCTTTTCTCAGCGAAGACTGTTTACCTCCCAGCCTGTGTTTTTCACGGAAATGGAGACCAGCAGAGGAAAAACGCCCTTGTGAAACATTTCCATGAATTTATGTTGTTCATCTGGAGCGTCACAGGACTTCAAAGAGGCCTCTGGGGTTTTACACGGCCAGGGACACAGGCTGGCCTGCTGGGGGCTGTTTAAGGTCCCCAGCTACCTGGTACTCTCCATGAGGTACCCCCAGCCTGCTGGGTACCTCATGGAGTACTGGGTACCTCATGGAGAACGGCATCCAAGTGAGGTAACTGGTGCCACCCTGGGCTTGCAGGGCCCAAGGCAGGTGCACATGCCCATGCCACACACATTCAGACCCATCTCTCATCTGAGAAAGAAATACAGGAACACACGGGGGCGGGGGTACAGGGTCATGAGACCCTGGACAAGTCACTGAAAATCTCCAAGGTTCAAGTTCCTGTTCGTACAGTGATAATACCTTGGGCCTTTCCGGATTATTATGGAAACTCAGTGAGGAAATGAGGCTCGTTTTATTTTCTTCATAAATGGTGCAGGACCAGGACCTGGGCATGGGCATCCTTTGGCGTGACTTCCTGGCTGAAATGTTCCATGGAATAAGAATAGTGCCAGGCCAGGTATGGTGATATCCATTTTTAATACTAGCATTTAGGAGGCAGAGCTGAGTAGATCTCTGTGAGTTTAAGGCCAGCTGGCTTACTTGGTGAGTTCCAGGCCATTCAGAGCTACATAGGGAGACCCTATCTCAAAAGAACAGAAAGCTGCTGAATGAAGCCGGAGGCTGATCAGTGAGGTTCATGAACCACTGAGGTGAGGGACAGGAAGAGACCTGGATAGTCAGGGCAAATACATGGGAGAAGATGCCTGAGGAAGAGAGAGGAACTCGGAAGGTAAGTAGGTGCTGAACTAGATAATAGCACAGATATATGCATGCAGTACAGACAATCTCCAGTGCCTGCAGACGTCTGGTTCCAAGACCCCCTCAGCTATCCAAATCTCCAATGTTCAACTCTCCTATGAAAAATGGTTAGTCCTTGTATATAACATGCACGTACTTTGGACCATCTCTAGATGCCTTAATACAATATAAATGTTATATAAATGGTTGTTAGACAGGATTGCTTGGGGAGTAACAACAAGAAAAAAATACGTGCTTGGTTCATGTACAGCTTGTCCTTGTGCCGTCCAGTCCCCCGTCCATCCATCCGTCCATCTGTCCACCCCCTCCAGTTCACAGTTGGGTCATGCTGTTCATGTAGAAACCTCAGACCACAGCATCAGAGGCCAATCCTTGCAGAACTCCAACAAACATCTTACTACTAGTCCCTTGCTCTGATTAGGTCTCCTACCTAAACAATAAAATGGGTCCAGTCCCATCACCTGCAGCAGCCTCAGAGCTGGAGACACAGGACAGGGTGAGCTGAGCTCAAGAGATGAGCATGGGTTCCCAGCCTTCCCTCACCCCCACCCCCACATCTTCTTTCTTTTTAATTTAGCAAAAAGCTTTCACCTCTTTTTTTTTTTTTTATCTGCAGAAGCATAGAGGATTTAGGTATTTTGCATTCCAAATGTTAATTCATGCTTTAGTTTAAACCCATAAAATGAATTCATACTGCTTGGTGTTCTACAGAAACCCCCAAATCCTGAATCCTATCTGCAGCCAGGCCTAGGCTTCATCAAAATAATGCAGCACAATAGGATTTGTATGAGAGTATGGAGTGGATGGGGGTGGGGGAGAAGCAGGACGGTTTTTGAGATATTAAACTCTTAGTCTTTTCAATCTTGGATGGTTTCCATGGAAACTGGTAAGTTTTCTTCTTTGTTCTCTCCAATTTTCTGGAGACACCAGGGCAGCCCTCATAGCTTATTGGGTAGGAAGGTAGGTTTGGATCAGAGTTCCAAGGTCCAGGCTTGGAAAAGGAACCTCATCTGAAGCTGCCTCCTGGGACCCCATCCCCAAGGGGACAAAGGCTAGGGACTGAACGCACCCCTCACTGGTCTCAGCCCCCTTCCTTCTCACATCTGTCTGTGGACCCTTCTGTGGAGCTGCAAGATGTGTGCTTGCTGGAAGTTGAGGTAAACTGGCAAGGTGCTGCAGGAGGCATCTAGGCAGGAGTAGGCGGAAGCAGGCTGCTCCCGCCCACAGTCCACCGGATTTCTGGGATGCCCGTCTTGGATGCTCAGAGGCCCCACTGCTTGGACTTTCAGAGGGTCTTGTTGGACAGCTCCTCCTGGGAACTCCCTGCCTTCTGGGATCTCTCTAGGTTTATCTACTAAGACTCTTTCACCACAATAGAATCATGCTGTGTTCAATTATTTTGTGTCTGGCTTTCTTCACTTAGCATGATGTTTTCAAGGCTGTGTGCATTGCTGAGTAACATTGTTCCCCTTCAGGGCTAATGATAATCTGTTGTAGGGATGAACTTGTTTTGTTCATCCTTTCAGCATCTGGTAGACATTTGGGTTGCTTCCACTTTGTGGTATCCCTTACTCTGTGGTCAGTGAAGCATGAGCCTTAGTAGGACTCCGTGGGTATGATGCGACACATGCCAAGGGAGAAAATGCACCATCTGGTACACTAAGGCCCCCAGACCCATTTCCTTGTTTGGGGGGAGAGGTGGCAATTCCAGAGCCCAGACACTGAAGTTCTCACTCTGACGCTTGAGTCCTTTGTCCCTACTGGGAGCCTCTCAACACATCCATCATGTAGGGATCACAGGATTCTCTCAGTGATCTCGGGTGTGTTTCTCTTACCTGTAATGCTCAGCATCGAGACACCTTTTCTGGATGAAGGGAGTCATGCCCCAGAAGCACAGATTGTGAAAACCCACTGTACTAAAATGTTCTTAACAGGTAAATCCACATCAGAGGGCAAGATCATGGTGTCCACGGAAGGAGCAGACAGTGAGTGACTACTCATGAGCACCGGGTTTTCTTCTGAGTGATGAAAATGTTTGGAACTTGATAGAGGTGGTGGCTGTCTAGCATGTGATACTAAACGCCACTGAGTCACACATTCCATCTCTCTCTCTCTCTCTCTCTCTCTCTCTCTCTCTCTCTCTCTCTCTCTCTCTCCTTTCTTCCTATCTTTCTTTCTTTCCCTAAGACAGGGTTTCACTGTGTAGCCCTGGCTGTCATATAACTCCTCAAACTCACAAAGATCCACCTGCCTCTGCCTCCGAGTGCTGGAATTAAAGGTGTGTGCCAGCATTACCCAGCAAGTCACACATTCTTTAAAATTTTATTTTTATTTTCTGTGTATGAGTGTCTGCATGTACATATACATACCAAATGTGTGCCTATTGCCCGTAGAGGCCATAAGAGGGCATCAGATTCCCTGGAACTGGAGTTACAAATGATAGTGAGCGGCCAAGTGGGTGCTGGAAACTGAACCCAGGTCCTCTGCAAGAGCAGTAAGTGCTCTCAACCACTGAGTCATCTCTCCAGCCTCTTAAGTGCACTTTCCACTAAGCTCGGAGCCCTGTATAAATGCAGGCAAAACAATGGAAGAATATTTTTGGTTCTGGTAGTTTCATCTATCACTTCAAAACAGAATACCCTGTATGTTTAGTAGCTTAGATCAACCATGATTTATTTATCTCGTTACTTTGTGGGTGAAGAATTCATGCCTGGTTTAACTGGACTTCTGAGTTGTCTAGAACCCAGCTACTTAAACTGTGGATTGTGTAACAGAATGTGGGGGGGAAATGGCAACAAAAAAGGGTTTCTAAACACACAAGCACCAAAAATTAATTCAAAGTCAAAAGTCTGATGAGGGATATTGAGGTGGCTCAGGGGGTAAAAATAAATATTTTGTTATAGGTATAACAAATCTGAGGTGTTTCTGGCAGAGCTCACCCTGGTTGCATCACATGACTCCATTGCAGCCTTGGCTCTGAATACTCCGCATGTGCAGTTTGCACTGTGCATGCCATTATGCCATGCAACACCAAACCAACACTTCCCAAAACGCCTCAGGTTATATGTCTGATTATTGCATGTTATGGATTGCAGTTTTTTTTTTAACCATACATACAAAATTTTCTGCTCTGTTTATAGAAATATGACTTAGTTATGAAAAATAAAGACATGTACTATTTTCCTACTTGTCACATGGAATCTAAATGTTCTTTTAATAAAAAATCCAAAGTAAATGCTGAAAGATCAGAGAGACAAAGGAACAAGCCATTGCCATGTCTCACCTTGCCACTCCATGAATCCTCTGACTGAATGTCTCTGAGTCCTCAGCCGAAAGCTTTCCAGCCAAAAATCTTTAGTTCCTGTCCCCTCAGGCCTCATATACCTTTTCTCTGCCCAGCCATACCACTTCCTTCTTAGTGCTGGGATTAAAGGCGTGTGTGCTTCCCAAGCAAAGGTATGAGATCTCAAGTGCTGGGATTAAAGGTGTGTGATTCCCAAGTACTGGGATTAAAGGTGTGTGCTACTACTGCCTGGCTCTGTTTCTCTCCTAGACTGAGTCAATCTCATGTAGTTCAGGGTGGCTTTGAACTTACAGAAGTCCAGACGGGTCTCTGCCTCCCGAGTACTAGGATTAAATGTGTGCCACCACTACCCGGCCTCTATGTTTAGTCTAGTGGCTTGTTCTGTTCTCTGCTCTTCAGGCAAATTTTATTAGGATACACAATATATCACCATACCTACTGTCATTCCTCAGCACATTTCACTCTTGGATATCTTTGGTTTGGATTGTGTGAGGATGTTTGAATTCTAAATTTTTAAAAATTGCTGTTTGAGGCATTAACTTGAGTTTCATGACAAAGACTGTTAAACAACTCTTGGCTTGGGATTAGGACAGGGTTTCCAACAACTTCTGGAATGATCCTACACACCCTTCTTTTATTTTGTACTATGTATTTTTGTGAAGTAGGGTTTCTCAGCATTGACAATTCTAAAATCAAATATTGCCCAATCTTGAGAAACAGGAAGATGCTTCCAAAGATAGAAGTAGAAAAATGTAACTTCTTAAGGCTGGGCCTGGATCCATTGCTTCTTATAACAAATCTTATAACATTGCTGAGATAAAGATCTCATCTTTCAGTGGGAGACCAAAAGTTCTACTGTCATCCAACACAAGCAGATCTATGCTTAACTCCTAATTTGATTCTTTGAACAGTGTCTTAGTCAGTATTCCATTGCTATGAAGAGACACCATGACCATGGCAACTCTTACAAAAGAAAGCATTTAATTGGGCTTGTTTACAGTTTCAGAGATTTAGTCCATTATCATCATGGTGGGGAGCATGGTGGCATGCAGGCAGATATTGTGCTGGAGAAGGAGCTGAGAGTTCTACATCTGGATCCATGGGCAGCAGGAAAAGGAAAGACACTGGACCTGACTTGGGGTTTTAAATCTCAAAGACTACCCCAGTGACACACTTCCTCCAACAAGGCCACACCTACTCCAACAAGACTACATCTCCTAATCTCTCCCAAGTAGTGCCACTCCCTGATGACTAAGCATTCAAATATATGAGCCTATGTAGACCACTTATTCAAACCACCACAAACAGCTTGTTTTAACATTTCTATTTCTTCTTGGGTCAATTTTCTGGGGTTTATATACTGTCTATAGTTACTAGTATCTACATTCTTATACTGTATTAAGGGGATTGTTTATTACATTTATTATTTGTGTACACTCGTGTGTGTGTGTGTGTGTGTGTGTGTGTGTGTGTGTGTGTGTGTGTGTGTGTGAGTGAAGTCAGAGAACAACTTGCAAGAGTCAGTTCTCTCCTTCTACCATGTGGGTCCTGGGGATCAAACTCAGGTCATGAGGCTTGTAGGCAAGTGCCTTTACCTGCTGCATAGACATTGGGATGGTTCAGTATATGTTTTTAAATTCCTGTTTAACTTGTGATTATGTCCTTCTTTTGATTTTTAACATTTTTACTAGCATAGACTAAAGTTTGTCTAATAACCTTTATTAAATGAAATGTTAAAAATCAACTAGTATTGTAAGGTGATAATGATTAAACAATACAGGAATGGTGCAAAAAATTACAATGCTTAAGAGGAAACACCAGCAGCAACGTAAGCAACTTCAGGGTAGCACCAGCTCCCTGTAATATTTCTTCTACCTCTTGGACTGTTTTTAGTGCTGGAATTGAACCTGGGGCCTTGTACATACAAAGCTCCACCAGTAAGCTACATTCCCTAGCCCTAGTTCCTTGACTTAAAAATAACTAACTAACTGTGAGATAGGCATGGTGGTGCAGGCTTTTAATTCCAGCAGTTCTCTTGAATTTGAGGCCAGCCTGGTCTACATAGTGAGTTCTAGGACAGCCAGAACTACAAAATGAGACCCTGTTTAAAAAAAGAAAATTGTTGGTGAAGTACATAGTTTACTGTTTGGAGTGTCTAGCTCAGGGGTGTATACTCTCATTGCTGGCATCACCATCATCTTGCAAAGCTGAAGCTGTATAGTCATTCAACAGTAACCTCCCATTACCCTGCCCTTGGTGTGTGCAGAAACTGCACTGTCTCCTTTCTGTGTCTATGAATTTGACTACTCATGAACTTCATACTAGTAGAATTATACAGTATTTGCCTTTCTGTGATTGGCATATTTCACTTACCATAATGTTTTCAAGACTCATCAATGTCAGATCATGTGCCAGAATGTCTTTTCTTTTAAAGGTTAAATAATAGTCTAGTGTGTATACACACACATACACACCCACACCCACATCCAACACACATACACCACTTGTTTTTTCTTACACCCATTAATGGACACTTGGGTCCATAAAAATAAGGGTTTTGAATACTTTGAATTAAATTCCTATGAACATGGGTATGCAAGTATCTACAGGAGTCACTACTTTCAATTCTTTGGGGCATTTACTCAGGAGAGAAATTGTTAGATAACAGCCATATTCTTTGCCAAAATATCACAGAAATGAACTCTATCCCAGTTGTTAATATTGTTCTGAAATCTCTGGAGCTGGGCCTCCATAGTCCACATTGCTCTTAGCACTACCATTTTCCAAGCTCTTACTATGGTAACCTCTTAGGCTCCAGTTATAGCTTTCAACTACTTTCTTAGTTCAAAGTCCCAAAGTCTTCCTCATTTCTCCCAAAAACAGCACGGTCAGGCCTGTCACAGCAATATGCCCCTCCCTAGTACCAACTTCTTAGTTTGCTTTTCTCTTGTTATGACAAAACACCATGACCAAGGCAACTTACAAAGGAAAGCACTTAATTGGTGCTGTCAGTTCCACAGGGTAGTGGAGTCCATGAACATCATGGCAGGGAGCATGGCAGCAGGCAGGCAGGCAGGTATGGCTATGGAGCAATAGCCAGGAACTTACCTCTGATCCACAGCACGAGGCAGAGAACTAACTGGGAATGGCATGGGCTATTGTACCCTTTAAATCAGTCTCCAACGATGCCCCTCCTCCAACAAGGCCACACTTCCTAATCCTTCCCAAATAGTTCCATCAGACATATGAGCCTACTGGGGCCATTCTCACTCAAACTACCACACTATTTCTCTTCTCTTTAATCAACTGGATCTTCCACTAGAAAAGAAACAGACGAGGAAGTACATGATGAATTCTCACATGGTTGCAGATGGTAGGCTGACTGCAAAGATCCAGAAGTGTTTGGAAAGCTGAGTTAAAGTATTTACCTTGTTTGAACAGCTGCTCCCAGACCAAGTTCCCTCCCTTCAAAGCAGAAGAGCTCACTATGACTTAGCCAACTCTTGGCTCACTGCCTATGTCTGGGTTTTCCACAGGGTGTTTGACCTTGATTGGAATCAGAAGGTCTTGACTATTGAAGAGTATCAAGTAGTTTTTTAAAGCTGAAGATTCAAGACTTTGGCAGAGAAGACAGGCAGTGAGATACGAGCAGATGGCTTCATTTCCCATGGTGCCAGAGAAGTTTGGGATTGATCCAACCACACTAGAGAATCACTTCAGGCCTGGAGCTATAAGCATCTCTCAAGAATTAGTCAATGTCTGATAGAACCACAGGAGTCCCCAAAGAGAAGGAGCAGGAAAGGGCTGGTCTCTGCCCAGGGGTGGAACTTCTGGGTGAATGCTCAGAGAGAATGGAGAGGCCTAACCACCAACCTCTTCCATGCTTAGGTGCCTCTGTCATCCTCAGATATTACCAAGCCTTCATGTGCCCCAAATGCTGCAGATACTACATATGGACGCACCAAGAAAATGCACCAGAAATTCCCAGGTGGTGGAGGCTCTGCAACCCTCTCCATAAGCTTGGCAGAGAAGGTACCAGAATATAAACTCTGGAAGCTTTCACTATTATATCTGAAGGAACCAGCACGAGTTAGATCAAACAAGCTGTCAAATGCCTCATTTCTTCTGTGGTGACGCGTTCACATTGTGTGGTTGGGAGTATTTTTATGTGCCTTCCAATGGCTAGTTATTGCACTTGAAAATTCTACCTCCTGATTTACTCTCACAGTCACCTTGTGAGGAGAATGGTTTCCCACTTCTCAGATGGATCTCACAGTCACCTTGTGAGGAGAATGGGTTCCCACTTCTCAGATGGACATACTAGAACACAGAAGTGGCACTTGCCAGAAGTCATATTCCTGGGGAAGGCAGGCCAGGATTAGATGTCCAGCGTGACCCCCATAGAGTCACAGCAGGACCAATGAGTGGGAATGAAGGGCATGCCAATTCTGACCTAGTAGCAAGTGAAAACAAATTAGAAGCCAATGGGCCTTTCTTAGGATGCCAAACTATCACAAACCAACACAGCCAGCTCCTAAAAACTAGAGAACTTAAGCAGGTGGAGAAATCTGCACTCTACAAAGTGAAAAAGAGGCTAGAATTCACACAGTGAATACAGAACCTCCTTTCTGTATCCAGTACAGACACAGTCATGGAGACAGAAAGTAGGTTAGGACTTGCTGGGTGCTGAAGCTATGGAGTGTCTGCCACAAGTAAAGCCTTTTTCAGCTGGGTGATGAAAATGTTCAGACATGAGGGGACAGGAGTTTATCTCCATAGGAGAACACTGGAAAAGGAAAATACATTAAAAAGAGGTAGTGATAAGATAGTGTTTCGACTACATCAATAACCATGTAAGCTATATGAATCCCATCTCAATACATAAATAGAAAATTATAATATATATGCAATTGTATATACTAAAGACTGTTATACTTACTTCTTTTTAAAACTGCATGAAGATTCTGTGATGGGCATGGTGTTAACTGTCAACTTGGCATGATCTAGGAGCACATGGGAAATGGGTCTCTGGGTATTCCTGTTGGGGATTGTCTTCTATTGGTTTAAATATTAAGGCAACTCCACGTAGTTAAAAGAGAGGTTTATTTTGTGGGGTAACTTACAAGTGAAGGACAGGTAACAGGGTCTGGGAAAGGTGTAGCACAGTCCAGCTGTGTTCTCTGGAGAACTCTGCTCAGTCTACCTCCAACGTCCAGGATCCAGGAACCAAGAGAGCTGGCCCATCCGGATCTCGGGTCTTCAGGGGGTCCTCTCTCAGCTCCGCCTTCTAGGTGTGACAGTTACCGAAGCCTCAATGGGGGTGGCACTTCCAGGTCAAAGCTGGAATGACTATCCACTACAGTCTTCTGTTAATTAAGGAAAAAGGACACATCCACTATGGGTGACATCATCCCCTGGGCTGGGATGTTGGACTGCGTAGATGGAGAAAGGGAGCTGAGCACCAGCATGCATTCATAGCTCTCTGTTTCTGATTGTGGATGCCATGTGACCAAGCTGCTTCAAGTTCTTACACCCTTGACTCCCCCACCATGATGCTCCCTTGAACTGTGAGCCAGAATAAGCCCTTTCTCCCTTAAATTGCTCTTGTTGAAGTATTTTATCACAGCAGCAAAGAAGGAAACTAAGACAGCCCCCAATAAGTAAACAGTATCTCTGAATCAATAATGGCCAGAAAAGATTCTGGAAGGAAATACAAATTGACAGCTACAGTTTATATGGTGGTGGGTAATTTGATAGCACATAGTTTGGAGATAAGGTCTATTGTAGCCCAGGCTGGCCTCAAACTTAAAATGAAGCCAATTGTTTCTACCTCCCAGGAGCTGTGATTATCGGAGTGTGCTATCACATCCAGCTGGTGTTACAAATTTTATACAATAAATAGAATTTCTTTTAGCCTCAGAATACTTTTAGAAAGAAAGGATAATGTATTGATGAGTTCCTTGTCATTGGAAACATTCCAAAAAGTTTGAGAACCATCAGATAGAGACATTTGTGTTAGCAGGAAATTGGACTTAACATAAGGTGGTACTTTTAACTATGATACTATCGTCTCTCTCTCTCTCTCTCTCTCTCTCTCTCTCTCTCTCTCTCTCTCTCTCTCTCTCTCTGAGTGTGTGTGTGTGTGTGTGTGTGTGTAGGAAGTCAGATGTCTTCTTCAATCACTCTCTAAGCAGGGTCTTTCACAGACCCTGGAGGTGACTTGAGGTCACTGATTCAACTAAGCTGGTTGGCCAACAAGCTCTAAGAACTCACCTGCCTATCCCTGCCTCCCCAGGCCGGGTCACTGCGTCGCTGCACCTGACTTTAAACATGGGCACCAGGATCCAAACTCAGGTCCTCAAGCTTGCAAAGCAAGGGATCTTTTGAATAAGCCATCTCTCCAGAAGTCCCTTTTATAAAGTCCTTGGTTTAGTTTAAGATCTATTTTTTGTTTGTTTGTTTGGTTTTGGTTTTTCGAGACAGTGTTTGTACTGGAACTCTTTGTAGACCAGGCTGGCCTCAAACTCACAGAGATCCTCCTGCCTCTGCCTCCTGGGTGCTGGGATTAAAGGTGTGCACCACCACACCTGGCTAAGATCTATTTTATTTTTAATTATATATATATATGTGTGTGTGTGTGTGTGTGTGTGTGTGTGTGTGTGTGTGTGTGTGTGTGAAGGTATGTGCACCTAAATGTGGGTACTCACACAAGCCAGAGGCAGCAGATCTCCTGCAGCTGTAGTGACATGGGTGCTGGGAACCAAACTCAGGTCCTCTTCAAGAACAGAGTGTGTGCTTAACTGTTGAGCTAGCTCTCCTGCAGCCCCACTAGTTTGTTTTTGAGACAGGGTCCCACTGTCATCCAGGCTGGCCTCAAGCTAGCTATTTATCTGGCCTGCAACTCCTGAACTTCCTCCTCTACCTTCTGTGTGCTGGGCTTACAGTCATGTGCCACCTTGCCATAATATGGGATACTTTTTCAGGGCCTCCTCATGTATGTTAAGCACATGCCCCACGGTGCCACATATTTTCCCGTTTGCTTTTAATAATCCACTATCTTAAATCTTGATGCTGATATTAATCTGTCTGGGGGAAGAAAGCCTACATCTATTACAAAATGAGTAACTACAAAGAAATACTGCAGTGTAATTAGTATATTAAAACTTATAAAGGGAAAGAAAATTCGCTTAGAAGCCATCTCTACTTGTTTCTACAAAGCCAAGACAGGAAGACTATGCTCTAGAAAATGCTCAAAGACCTCATGGGGGTGGGGACTGAGCTGTAAAGGTGTTTGCTGAGCAAGCTTGCCAATTTGTCTCCATCCCTGGGACCCACATAAAGACAGAAAGAGAAAACCAACTCTACAAGTTGCCCTCTAACCTCTACTTGTGTGCACTGTCACATGTGAATCTACACACACACTCACATCATGTGTATGCGTGTTATAAAAATTTTAAGGATTATCAAAGGAGACCAGGTTTTCTCTTAAATCCTTGTAAAACCGGAAGTAAAATGTTAAGATGCAACATTTGAAATACTATCTGAATGTGTCAATTCAGTCACCCCAAAGGTTGCTGACACATAGAATGAGTAATTCTTCTAAGGGAAACCAGCTTTTTTTTTTTTTTCATTCCCAACCCAAGTTCAGAGACTGTCAACAAGATGGGAATCTGGCCAAGCCAGCCTCAGGACTCTGTCAGTTTTGGGGTGTGGCTTGCTTTGCAGTGTGAGCTGGTTCCTCGCACTCCCCCAGAGTGGAGAGCAGTCAAAGCAAAGCAGTGTGCTCTGACAAGCTGTTTTCTTCCCTTCTCAGGCATCCTGAGTCACCGGGTGCCCAGGACAGTTCGGTGCAGCCTGGAAATGTGTATATGCTCAGTGTCTTGCTCTTTTCCACTAGAGCTGCTGACCAAACGACCCTGTCAGTTGGACCCAACCTCTTCTAGGCCCACTGGTGGCTTCTCGTTTCTGTGCTGAGAGAACGAAGCCACTTAATTATCCATTTTTCTACCCCAACATGGCTTCATGGTCCTGACAGTAAGCTCAGCCTCCGTTCTACCCACCAAGATGGAACCGCTGAGAATGTTTAAGTCCCATTTGTCACCTCAAAAGACACAGCAACTCTTATGGGACTTCTCATTCTTTAGGCTGCAGTTTTGATTGATTTAGACACGAAATGCCAATGCCAAACCAGATTGGTGAGAATTCCAGAAAGCCAGACCCCAGGTGCTGGTCCAATCATCTTATTTTTAGGCTGAGATGGTAAGGGACCTGCCCAAGGCTACACAGGGACAAAGCCAAATCCGAGCCAGGCCCTAATATCCCAGAGTGGAACTGGTCTTCAGGTGGTGTCTACAGCCCCGTAGGCCCAGCCTGTGTGCACACAAGGGGTTTTTTATGTAACCCCCTGGAGCTAGGGCCAAAGCAGGGGCTTATCCTGTGATTCTTCCCTTCTTAGGCCTCCCCACGTCTACAAAGAATGGGGACGTGGCTAGGGGAAGGGGTCTAGATAAGATCCCTCTGAAGATGGAGTTTAGGAACTGGGATAGCACAATGCAGCTGTGGATGGCTTTGAATTTCTGATCCTCCTGCCTCTACCTCCCCAGTGCTCAAAGTGCCGGCATCACAGGTGTCTGTTACACACCCCACTTAAGATACGTGGTGCTGAGCAGTAAGCCCGGGACTTGATGGATGCTCCATAAGCACTCTACCAACTGAGCTACATCTCCATCTCCCACCTCAAAAATGTCATTTTAAAAGGTCTTTTGTTTTGAGACAGGGTCTCACTATGTAGCCTTGGTTAGTTTAGTACTCCATTAGACCAGGCTGGCCTTCAACTCAAGAGATGCACCCACCAATGCTTCACCTCGCCCACCCAGCCTAAAAACACATTTCTTAAATTCAAAGGGAGATTAATCTACCAAAAGTTTGGGTAACCCCAGAAATACTTAATGCTGGAGTAGGACGGCCTTGGGCCATCTGCTCTCTCTCTCTAGCCCACGTGCTCACCTGCTGCAGAGTCCAGGGGGATTCTACTCAAAGGCAGGAAGTTCTGTCTTGTATAGAGCAAAGGACTGGAAGCTATGAGTTAAAACCTACACAGTTCGCAGTTAAAGAGATGAAAGGCTGCAGAAATGTTTATTGAATACAATGCCAGGTTTATAAATAAAACTTATTTACAATTTCCATAGAGTTGGTCCCCCATCAGAGAGAGGTGGTTAAATCTCCAAAACAGTTTATCTCAAGATTTACAGAACGTTCAAGTACATCTCTTTTTCAAACAGCCACAGTGAAGGGTGACTTCAGTAACAGAAGGACCACCATCATCCTTGCTATAGGTGTTTAGTGAACATTGTAG